ATTGTTTGGTTTTCTTTGAGATGACGTAGTTACTTGGTTAAAATTAGGTTTTTGGTTAAAATTTAACGTTTTTCTTTACAATAACGTGTTTGGTCAACAAGCTTATTGTTGTTCGAAGAAAACAGTGCCTTAAATATTATATCCAAGTTTTTTACTGGATATGGCGCTTTTGAAAATCTTCCAATGCACATATTGCAGTCCCAACAACGTGATAGCAACATTTTTTGGTAGACAATGTTTTTCAATAATTTTATATTGTCATGATGAAGTAAACGTTTTAGTAATATTGTTGGAAATTACTTTTTAATTACCCAAAGATAAGTAATTAAAATAAGATCTTCGATTCTCATTTTTTTTAATTTGCTAAATATTACAATGTAATTTCAACATTAATATAACGTTTTTCGTTGGTCAACAGAAAAGATTTTTAGTTGTTCAAAGAAAACATAGTACAACGTTATGACCAAGTTTCTTACTTGATGATGACGTTTTTTTTTAAATTGTCCAGTCCGAATGTTGTAGATCCAACAACGTTAAACCGACTAATAATGTTGTATAGTAATAAAGAGGTTGTTTAAAATGTTAATTTGATTAATAAAAATTTTCTTAGTTGCTTAAAGCGATATTTTAACTGGATATGACTTTGTTCAGTTATCCAGAGATTGTTGTTTCAAACGAATTAAAATAATGTTTTTGGTTGATACAACGTTCATAGGGTACCCTGTTACGAAAACATAACAGTTTAAAAGCTTCAAAACAAAACCTCTATGGTATAACGTTCTTAAAGTACAAACATCGGTAGCTTGAAAGTTAAAGCATCGTTTTTAGTTAACATTATACTTTCCCAGAGGAAACATGTTAGTTTAAACGTTAATGCAACATTTTTTGGTTAATATAATGTTTTTTAAAGTTACAGTAACTTAAAAAGACGATTGTGACAATTTTTGTTGATATAAGGATTTTTAATGTTGCCAAGTAAAATTTTATAAAGTTAAAGTAACGTTATTTTGTTGATTTAACTTAATTTGAACGTTTTTGAGATATTGTTGGTGTGAAGTTATATTTGCCCAGACCTCATACTTTAAAGCAGCACCGACACAAACATAACTTTGTGGGATATATATTCAGATCAGCTACCAGCAAAAGTCCGAATTTTGGAATAATTTCAATTAATGTTATACATTATTAACTTTCCCAGACGTTAGTTTAAAGGTTAATGCAACGTTTTTTGATTAATATAATGGTTTTTAAAGTTATTTACGGTAGCTTAAAAAACGTTTGTGACATTTGTTGTTAATATAAAGATTTTTAATGTTGCCAAGTGAAAATATGACAAAGTTAAAGTAACGTAATTTTGTTGATTTAACGTCATTTTAACGTTTTTGGGATATCGTTGGAGTGAAGTTATATTTGCCGGGACCTCTAACTTTAAAGCACCACTGACACAATCATAACTTTGTGAGAAATATATTCAGATCAGCTACCAGCAAGAGTCCGAATTTTGGAATAATTTCTGTTAATAGTATGCTTTATTAATTTTCCCAGAGGAAACACGTTATTTTAAACGTGAATGCAATGTTTTTTGGTTAATGTAACGTTTTTAAAGTTATCTACGGAAGCTACAAAAAAACGATTGTGACATTTTTAATGTTGCTAAGTGAAAATTGATAAAATTGAAGTTACGTTCTTTTGTTGATTTAACGTTATTTTAACGTTTTTATGCAGTTATATTTGCCGGAACCCCAAACTTTAAAGCACTACAGACACAATCAAAACTTTGTGGAAAAAATATTCAGATCAACTACCAACAAAAGTCCGAATTTTGGAATAATTTCTGTTAATGTTATGTTTTATTAATTTTCCCAGAGGAAACACGTTATTTTAAACGTTAATGCAACGTTTTTTGGTTAATGTAACGTTTTTTAAAGTTATTTATGGTACTACAAAAAACGATTGTGACATTTTTAATGTTACTATGTGAAAATTGATAAAATTGGAGTAACGTTATTTTGTAGATTTAACGTTATTTTAACGTTTTTGCCGAAACCTTAAGACTTTAAAGCACTACTGACACAATCATAACTTTGTAGCAAATATATTCAGATCAGCTACCAGCAAGAGTCCGAATTTTGGAATAATTTCTGTTAATGGTATGCTTTATTAATTTTCCCAGAGGAAACACGTTATTTTAAACGTCAATGCAACGTTTTTTGGTTAATGTAACGTTTTTTTAAGTTATCTATGGTAGGTACTACAAAAAACGATTGTGACATTTTTAATGTTCCTATGTGAAAATTGATAAAATTGGAGTAACGTTCTTTTGTTGATTTAACGTTATTTTAGCGTTTTTTCCGAAACCTTAGACATTAAAGCACCACTGGCACAATCATAACTTTGTGGCAAATATATTCAGATCAGCTACCAGCAAGAGTCCGAATTTTGGAATAATTCCGAATTCGTCCCGAAGCCCCCGTAGGTGATGCACGGCACGCACGAGTGACTCGATCGCGGCGGCGGGCTCAATCTGGGGCCGCCCGTGCTGTTTTATTACCCGTTCGCGGCTCATGAATTAGCAAAAGAAACCAGACGGAGGGCCGCAGCAGCCGCTCGATAATGCCAAAAATAATTAATTACTTTCGATCGACCCGAGTGCCAGCCAATTTTTCAATAAGGAACTGTCAGATCTCAGGAAGAGTAACGAACTAGAACCCCAGATACTTTCACGTCTCGCCCTCTCCCTCTCCACGGGATAAACTCGTTTTAGAAATTTTGCCGGAGCTGTTGTTAATCATTAACGCGGCGGTATTGGCTTTTTAAATTTTTATCCGGCAGGAAAACGCCACATCCGCCCCTTACAGCAAATTTAATGCGAGCACCCTCTGCGCCACCCGCCATCGAGGTATTTGTGAACAAAAAAAAATAATAAATATAAATTAGTATGCTTTTTATGCAGAACACTATCACAGTTGTAATCGTGTATGAACAGATTAGGTTCTAGCAAAAAATGACCTCTAAAAAAGTTGTTTGTGGGGGAAAGCTGTCACTGACTTTAAATTTGACCTTGAGGTCATCGGTAAAGGTCGGCCAAGGTCAACTTCAAATTTTCAAAAACGAGCCCCTATTTTTGACCCCGGAATTGAAAAGAATGGAAAATTTAACGGTGTCAGATGGTATATTTTGTCATGGGTTACTATGACCTCATAAGGTCATTCTGAGGTCAACATTACCTTTGTTACTGTTGAAATTAATTTAATTTTTAAAATTACATTGAAATTGGCAACTTCTGGGTTATTAAACATTTGAAATGCTTGTCCAGATCACATAAAAAATAACGTTATACCACCTCGAACGTACAATTTTAATTTGGTATTAAAAAGAGGGGACCTCAGAATGACCTTATGAGGTCATTGTAACCCATGACAAGGGACACAACTGAACGTAAAATTTCCAGCTCCTTTAAATTCCGGTGTCAAAAATAGGGATTCCTATTTGAAAACATGAAGTTGACCTTGATCGGTGACCTCAAGGTCAGTAACAGTTTTTTCCCCAACAACCTACAACTTTCATAGAAGTCATTTTTCGCTAAAACCTAAACTATCGGAGATATTAGTGTGGCGCGATTAAAATGGCCCACCCTGTATATTAACTTCTAAATTATATTTGCGGTTTTTTTTCAGTTGAAAAATATTTTTTTTTTGATTACGCTATAACAAAAAAAGCTGTATTTATGCCATATTTGGTCTTAAAAAATATGTTATAGATGACCTGTTATTAATTATTTGAAAAACACACTGTACAATTCCTCTCGAATATAAAAATTAGAATATTTGTGTTCCGAGTCAACCTGAAAATTCATTGCATTAAAAAAATCTAATAGTGTTTCCCTAACTTGTAGATAAAAAAATTGGTTGTAATTTACCACGGCTTTAAATTATAAAATGACTGCTTTTGACATGCTGTCACGAGTGTCGTTAATAAATAAAGGAATGGCTAAACAGAACATACTGTATACAAGTATACATACAATTATTCCATTGTAAACATTTATACTCGTATACAGTAATAACAATAATATCTCTACTCCCCATTCCAATAGCACGGATTTGATCAAAAGTCGAAGGCTGTGGAAGGGAAAAAGCGGCATATTATTATTCAAAAATATTGTAAAATTTAAAAAAGAAAAACCTAAAGGGCTTTAAAAATTGTTCAAGAAATATGAAAAATAGACAATAGAATTTTCTTGCATATGTCTCGGTTTAACCAGGTATGTCGGTAGTATTCACAAAATTTTCATATACATATATCATATAATCATTTAACATTGGAAATGTTTAAGAAATCGACAATATAACGCTGGATATATGTGTATAGGGGAGTATAAACCTTCAAATTGTAACAAACGCAATCGCGATCGCTGGGTAGGACTGGTTCGATCGGAGTGATTTTAGTGTCGTTGTGTAGGTTGGACCTTTCTGTGTTGAATTTCACGATTACGGGGATAACGATAGGGAGGATAATGATAAATCCCTATAACCTTTATACTTTGGCTACATTTATAAGACTATATGGGTATACGAGAATTTAACCTGAAAACTAAGTTTTCCAAGACTTTTGGTAGGAGTGATTGTGTATAGGTATAGAGGTGGCAAATCAATGTATGAAATGGTGAAATCAAGAAACGATAAAATTTTTAATAATAACTTAGAAGAGTGCCCGAAATATACAGGGTGATTCAGTGATAATGTTATTAATTTTAACCTTTTATTGGGAAGGGAAAATAAAAACAGAAAATCGAAAATAAATTTGTACTCAACCTTTTACTCAACTCCCGTTAATTCGGCGCCCTATTTCGCAACAGGGAACGCGTCATCGGACTATAGAGCGTTCGAACGTTGAAGCAAAACAGCTGATTTCCCCAGTCGTCTTGAATTTTGCAATTGGTTTCAAAACCAAAGTGCAGCGGATCCCAATTTTATTAACAAAGTGCCAACTATAGACAGATGAGTGAGTGTTTTTTTAGCCATTTTAAATAGGTAGGTACCACATTACTCTTTGGAAAGCAATAAGTCACAAGTGTACTACAAACTGAATAGTTAATTCAATATAATCCTAAAAACTCATATTCAATTATAATACAGTCAAAACGTTAACAATATTAAAAATACTAAATTGTAATAACCTAACATTTGTAAAACAATTATTATCCTTATACATTTGTTTTTATTAACAAATAAATAATACTTGTTAACGATTAAAATGTAAAAAAATATCTTATTCATTCTTGTGTCTAAGTAAAAAGCTCCGTTTATTCGTTGTCGTTCACTACGGATTAAAAACGCATTAAAAGCTAGGTTAATGACCGAATATTACGGTAGATCAAGATTCACTCTCGATAAACTTTTGTGTCTCTGGTCAGAAGCGGTCCGAAAAGGAATTCAAATAATGATTTGAAAAACATTTTGTTTACCGTAAATATGCATTTTATTTTTTTTTAATCGCGTATTCGTATTCTACTCATTTTTCCCTATTTTCCCTTGAAATTAATGACATTATGCCTGAATCTAGTATCTTTTATTATTTTTTCGTTTTTGAGTCGCAAGACGATACTCTTAATGTTTGGCAAAATTGTCTCTCATTTTACACTAGATTTTGTAAAATGGTTTAAATATCCTACAGGCACTTTTTGAAGTACATGCAATAATGGTTTATGTAGTATTTTTAATTTTTCTTTTAATTTTTTTAATTTACATTTAACTTTTTTTATTTGCAAAATTCTTAAAAAAGAAAAAACTACTTAAGATGCAAAAAATAAAGATAATATTTCACACCATGCTGAATGTAAATATTCAGTAAACTGGCATGACATAATACAATTATGTCAACCAGTAGAGAAGTACCAATTAAAATTCTAAAATTTTCTCCAATGTCGTTCACAAAATATACAAAAACGCAACATATCCTTTATAAAATATCAGTTCGATAAGAAAATTAGGAAACATCTAATGCGTTCCGGAACGCCACCGACCCCGTATATTACCCAACCCTCGCGCCTTCCCTAGAGGCGCTCTCTACGAATAAACTCATTTTATAAATTTCCCCGCGTTGTTAATCATTAACGCGGTTTTATTAGCTTTTTAAATATCTCTCCGGTAAACAGCATTAAATGTTTTAAAATCTGGCCCGAGTTCGGTCCTTGGAGTGCAAGTTGTGTCAATATTTTTGCATGAAAAGGACCGAGCAGGCGGAATGAGTGGTAAAATGTGGAGGCGAAAAGCCGCTTTGCGACCCCGCTCTCCATGGCCTAGACCGCCGATTTCGAGGTGGGTATTTTCTTGAACTGACTGATGTGTAATAATACTTTTAATAATATTCTGAATGTACAGGGTTACAGGTAAATCGACATAATATCTTGGGGATGTAATAGTGGAGCTAGTTCGCAATCAAATAAATCATAAAATGTAATCGTTTTCGGGATATATGAATTTTTATGTTTTTAAAAAAAATTAAACTTCAATTTGAAACTAAAACAAAAAATATATTTTTGTTGACATATTCCATGTTAGCAAACATAGTGATGCAAGTTTTATAATAAAATTAAAGTAAAAATGTTTAGCTATAAGTAAGAATTGATTAAAATTAAATTAAAAAAATTGGATGTACAGGGGACTCTTACAAATACAATTTTGTAAAGAAAAAGCCTAAAAGGGCAGCTCGAAAATGATTTAAAAATACACTTCTACACGGCAGTAGAAACTGATTCACTATAAAACTTGACCTCGTACAATGCGACCGGCATGGCGGCAGAGTGTGATAAAAACAGACAAAAATTTGAATTGAATTTCGCAAGAAATGAAATAGGTAGAATTTTATAGCATCTATTTTATATCACCAAACTCAACTGGTTTTGCCGCTATTGTTGTTATTAATTACAGTCTGTTTAGAAATGAAAGAGAGTAATAAAAGCTCATTAGGCATGCAAATCGTAAATAAATGTAGTACTGGTGCTTATATTCAATATTTTTATATTATGTATTATCGGTATAGGATGAGGTGTACTTTTAAAAAAACTTGTGCGATCGGACTGTACCAAATTGTAGCAGGTAGCTAAAATTTAATCCCCGACAATCCGTCTTTGTCTATGCCGCTTCAATTTCTCGGTCCATTTCTCTTATAAGTAAACAATATAAACAGCATTTCAAAACATGAGGCTACTTTAAGCATCATAACCGGGTTAAGAGGGTTTTTAGTAATTCAAACAAAATTATTCAATATTATTATCAAAATATTTATTTAAATTTAATGAATAGACTTTTATTCCACACAAAAATATATGTATTTTGAAAATTCAAATTATGGTGAGTAAATGTAGTGTTGTATAAATGTACAATAAAGAAAATAAAAAAGTAGGTATATTAAAATTCATCCTCTGAATATTCTGATGAATTATCTTCGTCTCCTAGATTGATAACGATAGGTTCCACAGTAACGTCAATTAAATTATCGAGTTCCCACATTTTCTCCTCTTCTCTTTGTACATGATGTATACATCTTTACCAGTTATCTGCAGTTACTCCTGCCAAGGAATTTTTTAACAAAATTTTCACGTCACTTAATTTAAACGTCGTATTATTTCGCGCTACATCTCCTTTTACCTGCGCCCAGACTAATTCGACTGGGTTAAGTTCACAGTGATAAGGTGGTAACCGTAGTACCGTTATTTGGCGATTTGTTGCCATTTCATCGATAACATATTGTTTCTGATCTTTATTAAGATTGAAAAGTGTCAAAAGTTCCCTTTTCACCATATTTGTTTCAAAAGAAATGTTTTTTTCCGAATAACCATTGAATTATATCGGCTCTCCTCCAAGCAATCGTAGGCATCCGCTCGGTCTGCCGTGAATGGTAACTGGCATTATCCATGACAATTACAGACCCCGGAGGAATAAGATCCAACATCTGTGTAAAATACTCTTCGAAAACATCTGCCTTCATGTCTTCGTGATAGTCACCTTCCTGTATTTTTAGATTCAAATAAAAGTAAACCGCCATCTACAAAACCAATGGCACTACCTATATGTGTCACTATTAATCTTCGCCCTTTACCTGAAGGTGCCTTGAATCCTGTTGAAAGTCCATCCAAAAATGCTTGTCGAAAACTTTTTACATTTTTATCTTGCCATACTTTTGTTACAGTATATCCCTCGTTAACCCAAGTTTCGTCTAGATAATAAATATTCCTCCCTTCGTCACGGAATTTTCTAATTGATCTTAAGTAGGATCTTCGCCAACAAATAATTTCATCTTTATCGATAAGAACTGACTTCCTGTTCTGCTTTTCCCAGCAAAAATTCAACTCTCGTAAGAAGGCCCATAATTTGTTTCTACTGATTTTTGACAAATCGTTGTTCTCTGAAAGTTCACTTAAAATTTTGTTTAGCGTTGGTATTTCTTTTTTAAAATAAAATGAGTGTACTTTTCTGCGAATGACATTTTTGAAGAAATCATCTATAACGACTTTTGTTGACCTCCCTGTGTTCATTTTTTGTTTCCTTTAAAAGTCTGTATATAGTCGATTTTCCAATCCCTGTCATTTTTGTTAGCATTAGTGTTACCCGATAATTACCTGAAACGAAATATTACCACGCCCATGGCCGGTTCTTATCTCGGGGTTTTATTACTCTCTTTCATTTCCAGACAGACTATAATTAAATTTATTTGTGGTTTTAATTAATAAAATAATTTCACATACCTGATATTACAAGAACTGTTCAAATTTTTGTCCAACTATGTGCAAATATATTTGGGTCCGTCTAATTCAGTTTCTATGAACTAACACAAATGTTGTCTTGCATCGCCATAACACAAATCACCATAAAACACATGTTGTCTTGCTGCGCCATAAGTTAAAACGATATCCATCAACTCCGAGTTGCTATACACGCAAGCCAGCTTTGACACGAACTACTAAAAAACTATTGCAAACACTATCGCAGCGATGATTGTAAAATCGGATTTCAGTTTTCGGAGTCGCTGAGGCCATGTGGCTCCTACGCGATTGCGAATGACGCTAGAGACGACAGTTGTCCAACTATGTAATGGTTGAAAGTACTACAACTTTGTTTTCTGAAAACTATTATATATTTTACATTTTTTTTACGGTATTGACTCCATTTCTCATGCCGCATGTATTCCCAATTTTTTTTGGATAAATCACCCTGTTTACATGAATATGGGGATATATTATTATTAAAATGTAATGTTTACACACAAAGTAACTGACATTTCCAAGAAAATTCGTTTATTTTTTCATTTTTCTTATGTGCGAGAACCAAAGCGACTTCCGGTATAATTTCATTTTCGCACCTACATCATAAATGATTTAAATTCTTTTTATATAGTCGTCACAATCAAAGAGTAATACTAATGGAAGAATAATTAGTAAATTATCGAAAAAGAAAATAATGCTAAAGTAAAATCAAAGCTTAGTTTTCGTTGGAAGAGCCTACAATGGCCAATAGTGCTAATCGTTCTTATATGCTAATATGTAATACACTAAATCTAAACAACAAAGCAAGAAAACACTTGCTGGAAAAATAGTCCTAACATAATAAACTTTTTAAGTATATTTCTGGCACAAAATGATCGAAAATTAAAAAGTAACGGAATATGGCAAGGCCCAAATGGTCCTTTCAAGTCAAAAAAAAAAGAAAACTCATCAAAACCTGAAGCAATTCATTTTCTTTCTTGTCTAGGGTTAGTGGGAAATGCGTTTGACAAAACACTATTTTGTGGTTCACTTAGAATTTATCACACAGTTATTAATTTTGAAAATGTGTACAGCGAGAGTTTCGAGCACTACGAGTATGTATAACTACTGAAATACTACTACTATTTTCTACATAAAAATAAAGAGCAAAAAACTTTTCAAAAAGTCAGCGACCGAACGCAAGCAGTTCGATAGGAAATCTCAGGCATATACTAGGCGTATTCAAGCGAATTCAGTTTGGATCTCTGTTGACTGTCGATATTGAGAGTAAAACCACAGACAAAATAGCTATCGCTACAGACCTCTACTGGAATAGGCCAACAGTTTTAAATTTCCGAATTGCCGGTAGAGTACACCACCAGCAGAATTTTAGGAAGAATCAAATACAGCGGCCCGCATATCTACGCGTATCCTAGCAACATATAAACAATACTTTGGTAATGTTGCCAGGCGTACTTACGGATTTCTTTTGTACACTTTTTTATCAATATCTGTTTTTTGCGTTACTGTATTTATTTAAATGTATGATATAGGTATTGATAAAAATGTTTTTAAAGAATCAACGAATATCTATGTAGTTTCATATATTCTGCAGCGGTGTTACAATTAAGTTATTTAATCATAATTTCGTTAATTAGCTACCTACTATTTTCAATTTTTGGTATTGAAATACTGCAGAAAATATATTTCCAAATAAACAAAATTCGTAATAATATTTTAAACAGCTTGTAATATAATTTTTTTAATATTTGATGATGACGATAAATTTATTTAATATACAAGGTGGGTTATTAGTACGTCGCGGAATGTAGGTACAGGTTTTTTTTTTTGTATTTTGACATCCACTTACAGGTTTAATAATTAAAGATAGAAAGAAACTTTAAATACAAATGTACGACTTTTCCTTTATTTCATTTGACATTAAAATTTGCTGGCATAAAATATATATGTTTAAAATAAAAAAAATCATTAAAAAAATGAATATTCATCATTTCGAAAATAACAAACAACGATTTTTATAAATAACCTTTACAACAACATAAGGAGAATACCTAAAAACGAAATAACATTAATATACCTACAATTTCTACAAATCAACATGCAAGTGATTGTGATGATACAGTTGAAAATATGTTTTAATTTACTATTAATTGCTTCGAAAACAAATTCAAAATTATCAAGCATTTCGTCCTGTATTTTTCTTTCAATACTTGTAAATCTTCAGGTAAAAAAAAATATGTCTAAAGACTGAATGAGATAGGGGCTGTTTTCTGGCCACCTAAGGTTTCTAATAATATTTTTTAGTGTTCGTTGACGGGATTCTTCCTCCAAAATAAATTTGCCAATATTGCTGAAGAACTTTTGCACATTATTGTTATTTGAATAATACAGTTAATTATGTTTTATTTTTCGTCATCAGAATAACCCATTGTAATTTTTTAAATTAAAATGGGTTATTCTAATAATGATAAATCCCATGTATTTTCAAAAGAAGGTTCGTTTCTGTCGTTTTTGTCTGATTATGTGCGAGAGAGATAGAGTTATAGTGTGCGATAGAGATAGAGTGACTCTGTCCTCATAGAGAGCTTATCTCTCTCTCTCTCTCTCTTTCTCTGCTGCTTCAGGAGTCTCCCCAGCAATTTCAGGACACCTAGGGAGGGAGCGTGGGGTAGAGCGCGTGGTATTTTTAGCCTTCGTTATCTATCTATGATGTCACACAGCATAAGAAGAAAAAAACGGTTTTTGGTCGTAACTCGGAAATGGCTGGAAATATAAGCAAATTTCCCCTTGGTTCTGAGTAGAACACTCGGTGGGTGACGCAGAGCGGGGTGTCACAATATATGAAAAAAAAAAAAACAGTATTTGCTTAGACTCTTAAGTATCAAAAAATCTCCCATGGTGAACAAATAAATCTCCCATGGTGAACGAGTGAAAAACATCAAAACCCGCATGTCAAAAAAAAAAATCGGGACCAACGGTGTGTGACATCATAGGATAAAAAAGTGTTTATAACTCGGAAACGGTGCGTTGAATCGAAAAAATAATTGAAAAATGTCTATCCCTCAATCCCGGGTTCTGTATGTTCCTTCTGCGTTGAATGCAAAAGGTCCGAAGTCCGTATGTCGAAAATAAATTTTTTAAAGAAGAGGTGTGTGAGGTGATACAGTAAAAAGGTCTTATAATTCGGAAACGGTGCATTGAATTGAACAAATAATTAAAAAAAATCTTCCCACTACTCTGGTACTGATTGTCCGTTCTGCGTTGAATGGAAACGGTCCGAAGTCAATATGTCGAAAAACAAAAAAATTAGTCAAAAATTGCAACAGCCGTAGCGAACGCATTATCTTATCTCTGCATTGATTGATGATTTGTTGGTTTTTTTTAAATAAATTTCGTATTCAACTACTCCTTGAGATTCCAGGAATTTTAAATTGTGTTAATTTTTTTGAACACCTTGTGTCGCAAATATGAGGCACTACCAATGACATCCATAATATGCAACACTTGTGTCAATAATTATTTTACCTATCTCAGGAAATCAACAATAAGAGGCAGTACCCATCTAAGGATACACAACCTGTATAATGCAATTTTTTTAAACATAGGTGTTAATATCGTACCATATTGGAAGTCGACGCACAAATCTAAAAACCTTTATTTCGAGTTTTTGAATTTTCCCATTCCAAGGTGATATAAAATAAATAATTAATTAGGTAAATTCATAGTTTTAATTCTAACTTTATTTATTTTATTTAACATTTAAGGCAAATGTGATTTCCAAACACAAGATAAGTTCCATATCTCTTTAATTACATAATTGAAAGCATTAAATTTATTTAGCAGTTATTATTTGGCAACTAAGCCATCCCTGGAACTGCCGCCTATTACCAAATAGAAGAGTTACCACGCTAAATTTTATAGCTGGAAGCCGGCTAAGGAGACCCTGCTTCCATTTCGGGTTGCCAATTTCCAGCATTTAAGTAGCAGTCTGTAGCGATACGCTATATTGTCTGTGGTAAAACCATACAAACCAAAACATATGTTAAATAAACAAGGAAAGCGGTGAAATAAATTTTACGTTTTAAAGACGAAAGTGGTCTTTAATGTAGTACTGTCTTTTAGAGTTGAGGTATTAGCGATGTTAATTGAAAGACATTTCGAGTTAAGACTAATTTTAATTTGTATAATTACAATAATGTAAGTTTTGCCGAGTTGGAAAAATGTATTGTCATTGCTCGGACGGACGACCTGATCTAGGATCTTTGACCCGTCGCGTATTGCATTTATTGCAAAGTTGCAAGTAGTGGTTAATGACTGCACGTTAAAAATTAAGCTTAATTTCATGTACTTTTGTCTTTCGTTTATACGTTTTTTTTTCTCATTTTCATTTAAACCAAAGCAGTTCTGACTCTTGCCACATTCCTTTGAAACAAGATATCATAATTAAAAACCTGTGATAATAAAGCATTTTTTTACCGATGATAAAATACACAGACAAATAAATGACCAAATTCTTATTACCATGCTTCAGAATATTATTTTTTTATCAAATCTACTTTTCTCAGTATTTCTTCTTGTATTTAAATACTTCTTCCTTTTTTCAGATCTAACGGCACCAGGAAGACCCTCGACCTCGAGGGAAATGAGCAAGGTGAGATAAAAAAGAACGTATTGAATGTAGTTCAACCAATATGTAATAATAAGCAAGGATTTAAAATATGATTCTTCTTACATCGATTATATGGGGGAAGCAGTGGGAATATTCAATATATTCTTAATTATTTTAAAATGGAACGGCAATTTATGAAAATACTTTATAGAATAAGTTATAACAATATTTAAACTACAAAATAAAAAGAAATCATCATTTATTAAACAAGACATTCATTTATGATTTATTTTCATCTGCATATGTGGCCACCTTTAGATCTATGTATAATGACAGCCTGATAGATTCTGGGCATTCTCTGGAGTAATTTTTTACTTTTTTTTTTTCATTTTACTTGAAAATCTTGTTAACATATTATAACATTAGTAAATGCAGACGCATCATACAAGTAACATATCGTCTTAAAGTGGTTCTGAAACTCTACAATTTATAACATGACATATTACTGTTAACAAATAGAGAATAAACTACCTAGATGAATTAGAAAAAGATGGCGATGTAATAATAAACGTATAATCTATAAATGTCACGTCTTCTAAAAATTAACATTTTCTGCATGATTGCCAATGTTGCGAGATACAACTACTCCGCGGGCTATATGCCCCGACCGGCATTGAATTATACTCGCAACACCTAGTACAACAGCTAGGATCGTTCATCAGTTTAACCCAGCAGACATAGACCGGTTTCGGACTTATTGCTCCTCATCAGTATATCGTAGGTGAGACACAACCGACGAACGGTCCAGCGGTTTCAGTGTTTTCTGCATGATTTATTAAATATTAACTAATATTGGTATGTGGGCAGGTATACGTTACTTCCTGTAAGTAAAACTGATCTATTTTAAAATAATTATTTTTGCTGCTATACAGTGTGTATCTTCACTAATCCAGAAGAACATACGTAATACCCTAAAAGGTTACTGTTTGGACAGGAATTGTTGAAGATCATATCATAAGTCCCTTTTTCATTGATGGCAATTTGAATGGCGATAATTATTTACCACTACTTCAAAATAATGTCCTGGCAACTTTGACAAACTTATATCCTGATCCAACAAACCCACAAGTTCCAGCGAATATGATATGGTTTCAGCAAGATGGAGCACTGCCCCATTGCCAAAATAATGTCCGGCAGTACCTGAACCGAATATTTCAAATAGGGAGGCGAGGATGGATGGAATGGCCAGCACAATCACCTGATCTGACTTCTTCTTTTGTGGATATGTCAAAAGTATTATATACAAAACTAAACCCCTCGACTTCGCTGACTTAAGAAGACGAATAACTCTTGCGATTAAATCGGTCACGCCTGAGATGTTGAGTAACGTTGGAAGAAATTTCTATTTAGGATTTCTATTCTAGATTAGGATGTTGCCAAGACATTCGCGGCGAGCATTCTGAACATCTCCTACATTGACATTAATGTTTTTTTTTTGCTTCTTTACATTATCAATAAATAAACAGTATTAGGTACTTATTAGTTTTTTAGTGTGTTAAAGCGAATTTCTATAATCAAATAATTTTATTTTTTTAATGTTAATTTTTATAATAAATCTGAAAACCCTTAATATTTCCGAAACAGTTGAGGATAGGCATAGGACATTGTACATGAAATATGTCTAGAGTTTTCTGAAGAATCCAAATATTGAATAATATACAAGGTGTTGCATTTAAAATAAGAAAGTTGGTATTGACCACTGTTACATGACACACCCTGTATAAAAAGTTTTTGTTGAAAAAAATACGCAATTAAAAAATAAAAATATTAAATATAAAAATATAAAAATATATATTATAAAAATACATATAATATCATAAATAATAAATAAAAATACTTACTAATCTGAATAAATTTGAAATATTTAAAAAAATCTATTCAAGTTTACAATAAAAATTATTTGTTACTATTTTTTAAAGAACTGTATTTAATTACAAATTAATCTTAGTGTTAATGACTTCTGATACTGATCTAGAGACGATAGAAAACTTTGCGATCTGTGTGAAGTATTAGTTTTTTATTGGAATCGAAATAGAATTTATATATTGCATTGTTATGTTTTATTAAATTTAATTTCATAGTAACATTCTATGGTGGTATTTAATATAGAGTAAGTATGTAACCTTATAAAGTTATTTATTTGTAAAGTGTATCTCCGTTGTTAAATTTCTGTATAATAAGAAAAAAAACAGGTATATGAGCTAATACAGATAAGATTTAACAACAATGCATGGGTAGGTCCCAAATGGATATGCGCTTGCGGCTAGCGCACGCCCTTGTTTAAGGTTAAATTAGCCTGTCCAGCGGCGGGGTATGAAAATCATGAAAAACGGTTTAAAAAATTGAGTTTTTACGAAGAAATTTGTGAAAATAAACCTATGACATGTGTTTCTAAAGATCAAAGGACATCATGCTTATTTTGCACGAACGAACACTAACAGGCTCCACTCTGCAGACTGCTGTATAAATTCTAGCGTCAATATTATACACAGTTTTCATAATAAAGTAAATAATAATCAAAGACAATTATCAATTTTGCTTCATCTGTTTCAACTTTCAAACCGAAAGGATGTTCTACGATTACTATTATATCTGTGGAGCACTGTTTCAAGATCTTTATCTTTCACCCTCATTGTTTTTTTTTTTTTTTTTTTTGAGGAGCGCACAAAACATCCCCAGAAACAATAACCCAGCAGATTGAACGGCCTGTAAGACGCGGCGCTACGTCCGCGAATTAACTTTATGGGAGTTTCTGGTCCCGGGGGAAAATAATTTTTATATCCGATTTCGGACACGTTTTGTTCATCTGGAGAACGTGACTTCGAGTGGTGTTCCAAGGGCCAGTCGAGGGCGCCAGATTTTAGCCGCCGATACTCTCGGCCGGAAGTAATGATCTTTCCATCGAGTTTCGCGCTGTCCTCGTCAAGCACATAAACAATTTAAGGGGCAGCGAGAGTGGGTTTATTTCTATTGTATGGGTCGTCCGGGTCGCCCACATAAATGTTGGAGTGCGCTGCACCTAAATGCTGTCATTGATGAGTTTTATCGGTTTTCGTCAACTTTTGACCGCGTTTTGTTTAATTTGACGAGAAATCTTAGGAAGGGGTAAAAACTTCATACTTTTACTTGACCCCTGAAATTTATCCTAAATCAAGGCCTACGCTGTGGCTTTGTCTTTAAATTTTCATCGATTGACTTTTTTTTCATAAATGTCGACCTTCTAAATGTACATGTTGAACTAATTATGAGCGGAGCTGTATTTGTTTTTAAGCGATTTTCAAAAAAATACTTTTTTCAGAAATCTGGCCAGTTCGAAAAAATTTAAAAAATTGTTATAACAAATCATATTAAATGAAGTCAAACACATTAAAAGTTTTCAGTAAAACCATTGAGTAAAATTATTGAGTACCTACCTCTTTGCTTAATATTGAACATTTTAACACTTTCACTCAGTTACTTTCCATTTCATAACGTCTTTTATTATTCCCATGGTCCCATTACATGATCATCGTGTAGCGTATGGACAGCTTCACGTGGTGCTACGGTGGTTATAATAGGCTAGGAAATAGAGCTGGGAAATGACCATATAGAGAAAAGAGCTTTAAGTTAAAAAAAAAATCGTCAAGATTCGTTGAAAAACAACGGAGTTACAGACTGTCAAAGTTGACGGCCTATTGTTAAACAAATTAGGTTGGTAGCGGCAAAAAAAATACTGTCATAACCGGCAACCCGAGTACTCTCCCAGATAAAAATATTTTATTTGTGGAAGTATGTATGAATAAGAAATATTGTTAAGTCCGAAGAAAATGACGGTCTATGGACGATAATATTCATAGTCCTGCCGTTAAAAAAGGGAAATTCGCTTGAAAATAATACATATCGCGCGCGTGCGTCGTATATTTCATTTTGCAACTAAGGCTAAAAAATAAAAAAGTTTTCAGGTTGCAAATTTGAAATTAAAAACAAATTTATAGATTTCATACCATGAAAAAAATCAGTGCGAGTGTGGAAGATGCTCGGGATCGTCCAGGCTAATAATTAGTTAATTTGTTTATAAGGCCATAACTTGTAAACTATTCAACTTACCGATTCCAGATTTCATGTGAGTTATTAGACAGTGATAAGGAATGAGAGGATGCGATGCCAAAACGTTCTGGTAATAATAACGCAGTTTATAAATGTTTAATTCAAAAGTCATAAATAAAGTTCTTCTGTTTATAACTTTTGATCTAATCAATATTTCTTGACGCTCGAGGGCTAGTTTTGTAGGTCTTTCGAAGACGAAAAAAAGTACTTTACTGTGTTCTCGTGAAAATGAACGAAAAAAAGTTATAAGCGAAACACGGGAATTTACGTAAAAATAATACAATTAACCACCCTGTAAACAATCTTCCCCTCATTTTTATGACTGTGGAAACTAATATGTACATAATATTTAGCATCTATAGTGATAAATTCAGCTTGTCGAAACAAAAAGTCGCGTCCAATTATATGTTTCTTGGCCTAATAATACGGATATCGGATTATCCTGATGGAAATCAAAAACAATAATACATATATTGAGTGTAGATTAAAAGATTCCTTCCTTGGTCAAATTAGGATATACCTATTATTTATAGGCCACAATTTCTGTGTAACTGTTGATATTTGTTTTGTGGGTACATAGTAATATTTTTTATATGTCAGGAGTGGAAAATAAGGATTGATTAAAAATTTACATAGTTTTGGAATGCAAAAAACTATTTATAATTTGAAATTTGTTTGTTTTAAACACATTGTTTTATAAATAAGGTGAAACATTAATGTTCAAACATTATTTTTGTGTTAAATAATATACACTGTGTCCCAAAAGTCCCGGAACAGCAAGATATATAGATTAGTAGTGAATTTTAGGTAAATTTAAAATATACTTCAGAAAATTCATTCTTTTTGTCATTTCTTGACGTGTAAACATTTGTTTACATTTTTTATGACTTGTGATA